ATCGTATGGCTACGAGGACATGAGCCCGATAGCCTGTTCCTCGCCAAACTTGTAAGACCAAAACCCAGTGACTTTGTGGACTGATGCCACTTCTTCGTCTGGCCAATTCGAGTCCTCTTTCAACCTGATGCAAACTCTCCTAACATCACGCCTTGGATTGGACAGCAGCCCGGAGCGTGGGATGCATGTCCAGGCCGCCTAAGTCGCCAACGTTCACGAACTTGTCAACCAAATCAACCTTCTTGTCTTGTACCTCCCATCTAACTCGACACTACCGAGATGGTTCCATCATACGTGAATAATGATACGCGGACACTTGCGATCAGCCAAACCAATTCGTGGACTTGGGTCTAAACCACATGAAGAAAGGCTGATTGCCCTTCACCCTTATCCTCTAGAATACGGAGGACTTAGAGGAGGCCTGTTAATCGCTGGCAGTATCCTGGGCACTCTTAGGCACCCGCTTCTTCACTTACTGAACCATATTTACAGCACTAATTTTAGAGGGCGTGTACCGAAACAAAGGCCAGAATATGGCGGCTTACATAACGAGCAAAAATTCTGTTTCCTAGAAGTTGTTAAGGCCTGGAATGCCCCTTCTGAAGGAGCGGATTGCTTGAATACCTGAGCCACTTAATTTTCTATGAGATATATTGCACCAAACCTTTTTACACATGTTTGTTTTAGTCATTCTGTTATGTCCTATGATGGCACGATATATTCGCGCAAATTTTTAAAAAGTTAACTGCCTTCTGCAATATGAATGTCAAATAAGATGGGCAAAAGCATCAAGGTAGATGGCAGCCTGCTTTGAAGTCATAACGTTATCTGCCCGAAATTATAAGTAAGGACTGCGGATAATAATGGAATGCCTAAAACCACTCATGCTATCCAATGTGCATCGTAATGCTGCGGCGATTACGCAACAAAAAACTTTCCTACATGGACTGCATGATGACAGTTTGGTGTCGCTAAATGGCTTCCAAATTTTCCGTCGGGATCGATGTAGCCCTATTAGGAACGTGGAGGTGGAACAGCTACGTTCATCACAACCCATTGAGGCATTTCGAGTTACTTGTGCCTCAAATTCTCAAATGATTCCATAGACTGGATCACCGTAAAATGCTGCGGAGAACACCTGAACGAGTATCGCTCTATTTATATCACAAATAATTATGTGACATCTGGTTGTGGTTACTACGAGTTATCTGGTTCCACAGATATATTTGTGGAATTCTCAACACCTGTACTCTGTGCTTCCCTGTAGATATATCGTGATTTCAGTTATTATGACCAAAGCAATCTCAGAGCTCTTGGTCATTCAAACCTCTTTAACGTTGCAGCACGCCAGGATGTAACATTAGGCGTGGTAGTCGTTAATGATACTGATATATGTGAAACTCGAAAGAGGCCTCCACTGCTCACCTCGGATCATTGCATTATACGTGTTTTTCCTAACATATATGGCAAACTATACAAGGCAGCAGTAGAAAATTTTACATAGGAACTATTCACATAGTGACACCTAATCTAGGAGGAATGCTACAGTGTACTGACTAGAACATTTGACAGCGATGCTTTCAATGACACTATTGACAGTGTGAGGTGCCATCTCACGCTTTGTCTGGATATCTGTTGTCCCAGTGAATAAAGTTTTCTACGCTTCTATCGTTTATCTACTCCCCAGCTTAAGCGACTAAGAAGGGAAAAAGAAAGGCTATATAAAGTAAATGATAGTTCTGGCGCTCGTCGACTGGATGTTTTAATGAGGTTGAAACTAAACTTCTGGGTCTACTATGTAACCAGAAACTTTTCCCATCCAAAGGCTCTCCCAGAATGTGGAAACACTTTGGAGACCTCACTGGTAATAAACATCTTGGTAAAGAAGCATGTGTTGACGTCTATGCTTTGAACAAATCGTTTACACGCCGACCCAACTGTCCACGTATTCCCAACAAAGAAGGCTGTCCGAAATTCACCAAGAATGGTGTTCTCAAGCATCTCAAATCCCTAAACCCTTTATGCAGTTTCGGTTTGAATGGTATGTCAAGCTTCATATTCATGAAGTGTGCTGATATTTAATGCCATCCACTAGCTAACATGTTTACTAGATCGTTTTCAGAAAACACATTACCGGCTGCCTGGAAAGATATTAAGATAGTCCCCGTACCTAAGTCAGGGACTCCAGGCGCATGTCCAAAATTCCATCCGATTTCAGTTACTTCTCCGTTCTTGAAAATAATGGAGACGCTAATAATACCTGTGTCGAGCCCTCATTGAAAGCTTCCGGAGACCATAATCAATTTGCATATAAAAGTAGAAGCACTCTGGATCCCACCACTCTCTAATATCACGATACTGCTTATGGTCTTGATAGGAATGCTAAGTATGTCAGGTGTGCCTTTTCGGACTACGCTTCGGCATTTGATTCTTTCCCAAGACCTCTTTCACTGGACAAGCTAACCCGGACAAATACTAAGTCCCGGATAATCAACTGGCTGTATTTCTAGTTCTCTTAAGGAAGACAATATGCTGTTCACAGAGAGAAGCGCTCCACCTCATTGCTTACTGTGGCTGGTGTTCCCCAAAGTGCAGTCCTTCCCACTTCATCTTTTCTCTTTCTTTCCGCATGACTCACCATCTTCATCTAGTATCAATTTTATCAAATACTCTGATGGTCTGACAGCTTACATTCCTGTCCCCTCTTCAACGGATTGTTCCCAACTGAATGGTTTCCCAACTACTGTTAGACGATGGTCCTTCATGGTCTTGTGCCTAATTCTTCGAGATTTCAGACTGTCAACTTAAGTTTCGGACATGAACATAACCTATATAAACTGCCTAGGTTTCATGACTCCTGTTCTATTGATGGTTGTAAATTAGAGAGCGTTACAGGTGTGGTTTATCTCGGTGTTTTTCTTCGGACCTTTCTTGGTTCTCCCATATCTTACTAATTTCCAATCGAATTTTCCGTCTAGCACCGTATACTGGGAAGCTGAGAGTATCCGGTACAACTCAGCTCTTCCTCTTATGTTTTATAAACTCCCACATCTTGCCTGTTCTGCTCTGTTTTTCCTCTTTCGCTCAGCTTTCTGAAATAAGGATCATCCAATTCATATTTATGATCTTGTTTGGTGCCGAGTTCACTTAAAAAACTCATCCATTGTGATGGAAACGAAAACTAGATTGACAGATTGCATACTTATAACTACGAAAATGATTAATGAGTCATCTTACGGACAAGATCTCCAACACAGGGCTCCTGATTCCCTTTCACACCCATACGTACAATGAAAAACAACGAAGTAACATCGTATATCTGGAGCAGAATGGCTGCCTTAGAATCTTTTTTAGCTGTAAAGTAGGTCCACATATACTGCAAGAGCTTTAGAAGTACTAAGATGCATGCTTTCTACAACCATTCGAGCGTATTGTCGATCTGAACCAGCCTGAGAGTTGACGAATGCACTTTACACCATCAAATACCCGGCTGATATCTGTAGCCACTGGAACCGTGGCATGGCTATCCCTTGATCCACGAAGCCTGCGTGCAACTGTAAGCAAAAACGTATCACATTCCCTAGGTTTTCATGGCCTTCCGTTAAATTTCCGCAAACTATTTGCAACTTCGGCCCTCAACAAACAGTGGCAAATACACATGAAGCAGAATTTGTGACATGAAATCAAACTGCTACCTGTTTCAAAAAATATCACAACTGCTGTTGGAGGAAACTTTTGGCATCATGGGGAAGTTTGTAGAGGAGCAACTACTAGGGGTAACAACGAAGCACCAATACAACCACAGCATGAAGAACCCCCAAAACAGTAATTGCACATGGATTGCACACATAGCATTAAAAGCAAGTGCACTAACTCTACATATATAGCATAAAAAGCTAATACGACACTAGGCGACGGATGGATATGGCAAGTTCATGTGCGTCGATTGACCCTTTCGAGGTCCCAGAGTGATCAATCACAAATGTATCCACTGTAAGAGGCTGAAATATTCGGCCATTATTGCCGCTCAATTTTTAGAATGATTTGAATGGCTCTCGTGACAACTGCTAAGATGACCAGTTACCTTTCTCTAATACATGAGAAACTGCGTTGTCAGTCGAAATTCTGAAATTTGACTGATTAATCCAGTAGTTGCTGTGGTGGTTTCATGTGATATCAGGCGTTCACCTTTTGCTTTCTAACTCGTTTTCCAGGTTGTTTCTGTACATTTCGTCTCTTGTTTATGCCTCATTGGCCGTCTTTTTGCTTGGGCAGTACATATTCACTTTCACCCTCCCAGTCTTTGCATGACAGTTGGTGTGGTTGGCCAGACTGCAGGTACCTACTACTCCCACTTGGAGAGGGAACGCAATGTGATCGGAGCCTAAGTCAGTTCATCCAGGTGTGCACTGGACTAACTCAAACAGAGTGTAAACAGTACATCGAACCTGTATCGCATGCGCTTTTGAAAAGGGGAGTGGCTTTTCCCGTTCAGCTAGATTCTTAGCATTGCTTGTGTTTGCTCATCAAAGGCTGTTGTATTTGTGCCGTCATCAAAATGTTCGATTAGAGTGAGACAAGAAGTTCTCTGGGAGAATTTCTGCAGTGTCTGCTACACAGTGTCACGAAAATGCTTGTGGTAACCAGTCACACCATATTACTGAGATAATGCTGGCGAAGGCGTAAATAATGGGGTGAAGGGCCCTAATATTGCGATTGGTACGTTATGGGTAGGTAATTGTGTCCCAAAAATTTCACTGCACTGCTGAAATAATGTGGATAATGCTGAAATAATGAGGTAGTGATGAAATAATGAAGGCAGTGCTGAAATAAGGCGGGTAGTGTGGTAATAGTGTGGCCAAATTATTTGAGGTGCGTAACGTAGTTCACTGTATTACGTAAGGAAAGAAAAATTCTTAATTTTTCAAAGTTTTAAATTTTAGGTGTATGGATCAAAAATAAATTAGGATATAATAAATGTCGACCTACAACAATCCCCCGGTTGTTTAACTGCGGAGAGAGGAATTGTCGCCATCTCTACAGCGGAGTCATCATGGAGGTGGGTTAGTGTTTTGCTCCTGGGTGATGGTTCCGCATCTTTATGCATTCTAATGCTACTGATAACAATGTTTTATATAAGACATCCACAATGTCTATTAAAGGAAGGGTCTCGTCTGGTAGAATGCCTTGACCAGTAAACTTTTTGCCGATGTCGTAAGAAATTATTTGACTCCATTTGCGCTGTTTCGTGTAGCGGACGTAAGCCCTTTGGTGCATGTAGCAGCAACAGTTAGTATATATCCTACTGCTTTATTAATGTGCACTAGAAGCATCAGCGTATACCCCTAGGGCCGCACACGTGTGCAGCTTTGAATGTGTTGGGATATTCGCGCGCTATTTGAAAAGGCAGAAACACTTCTATATACGATATCGAAAAAAACTAGCGTCGAAAGGGAAAGTCGATAACTGTGATAGGGATAACAACACGGCATTCCTTGACATATGGCTGTACGAGATTGTAAGGATGTCCCACGACTGGCATTAAGTTGGGCGCGCAGACTAACTAGGTGTGTTGACTTCAGTAAAAACTACTCAAACTAGAGCGAGGTGAGTACCCTCTGGTGGTTGGATCCCCAGAGCTGATAGGACCCCCCAGAGAACTGAACGTGATACTAGGTCTACTTCCGATAAACGAGACAGGAGTGAGTCACTCGCAATGCAAACCATGGAAGCGTGCAGACCGCAGGTCCAACCCGGTAAGCGACCTGATCAGTGGTGAAAACTACACAATGGGATGCAAGTTCGTTCTGGGGCTGTTGATGTCAAGGCTGCTGGACTAGGCTCTAGTAAGGCTTACATACCCGACTATGAGGAATAGCAAGTAATCGGGTCTACACGACCTGACAAATAGCTAGTAACAATCATCAAACCAACTGTCACCACTCCTCAGAGCAAAGATAAAGTAGGGCTTCTTGATACGTCCGACATTCCACAGAGTAGGAGGAAATAGAGACCCAGAACCACTTAAGTGTTTCGAACATGACCTTGGCTAGGTGCAGTTTGGTAAGCCAGCTTACACCAGGAGTCACCCTACTCAAGATATATAGAGTAGGCAAACAGGAGACAGTCATTACTGAAAACAAGTTTCGGCTACTTAAAGTTATGTTCATATCAACATAGGACAGGGATCAGATCCTGAAGAACACTCATAAACTTCAAGGGTCTGGAGTGTTCGTGCGTAAGGATTTGGCTCTTGCGGACGGAATAAAAAAACGAGAAGCAGAACTAAAATCCAGATAGACAGCAGGAGAGCAAGATTTAAAAGTAGTGGGTAAGTAGTGTAGTGAGATTTTGGCAACAGATGCTGCTAAATCCTTTATGGATAGTGCGGGAACTCAAGTAGTGTCGTCCTGTACACAAATTCATGTAGTCTCAAACAAGTGTAATAAGCCTAGTAATTTGATAAATAGAAAGTCCTGACATTGCTATCTCAGAAACTTGACTTTTGTAGTATCAGTGACAAACATTTACGACGATTCATTCCTCTTAGAAGTGATAGGTTAGCACGCTAAGGTGGTGGTGTCATCCTTTGCTTTAAGAATAACTATAAAAGCAGTTGAAACGGTTGTACATGAAAGTAGCATGTGTGAAATGCTGTGCCGCCGACAAAAATGCAAGGGACAGGTTGTTAACGTAATCGTAGTATGTCATCATCATCATTATCAACATAGGACCAGGCATTACTGCGTAACGGTCCTATGTTGATAATGATGATGACATACTACGATTACGTTAACAACCTGTCCCTTGCATTTTTGTCGGCGGCACGGTTCTATTCTTGTCATTCGTAGTATGTCATAGCCCCGAATATGAGGCGGCAGACTTCCTCTGGACAGATAACCGCCGATGCCTAGTTGTAGGAGACTTCGACGCACCATCAGTTAGTTGGAACAAACTACGGAAGCCCTTCGTAACTCATTTGACCACAGGTTAGTAGAGACATCAGTTTCCTCGGCCCTTATACAGCACATTAGGACAGCAACCAAATACGATCATCGGCATGTTTCATCAGTTCTAGACTTGGTCTTCTCGCACACATGATGTACACTTTATCCGGCACCTCTCATCCCTTGGTAAAAGTGATCTTCAGATCCGCAGCCGCTGTCTTGTACCAGGTTGATGTCCCAGCTAGACCCAGTGTATAGAAAGCGAATATGGAAGTTATTAACTTTGCAGCCTCTTCGGAGGTCTGGACAGTCAATCCAGAAGCCTCAGTTGAGGCTGCATGGTGCTCTTTTAAACAGTTATATGCGCGAGTGACCCAACCGTTCATTCCATGGACTATCCCGAGGGGGTGGGAACATTGTTCTCCATGGATAAACCACGAAATCCGAATCTTTCTGCGACGTAAGATAAAGTGTTGGAGTCCTGCTACCCACCTCGGTAAACCCGAAGTGATGAAGCTTTACAAAGCAACCCGAAATAAATGTATCGCTGCTATCCGTCGGTCTCGAATATGCTTTGAGACGTCTTTCCTAGGCTGCATTGCAAAATCAAAGATGTTATTTTATATGAACTATAATAGTAAGATGTAGTACACCTGCCCTAATCAAAGGGACAGGAACTTTGATTGAAAACGATCAGGAAAAATCAGTAGCTATGGTTGGATATTTTGCTGTTTACACAGGAATCTCCTGTGGTCACTTATTCAACAGTAGAAGCATTGACATCCAGCAGAATAAACTCGGGATATCGATCTCAATGGTGTATTTTGGACATCAAGTACTCTCGATGTAAAAAAGTAAACTGGACTGGGTGAACACACAACGTTACTCAGAGAGCTTACACTATGTAGCCGGCCCACTAACTACTATATTTCAACTATCCCTCAGTGAGAGCACATTCCCCAATAGCTGGAAGAATGCCATTGTCACACATTTCTAAAAGACAGTTTCCAGGCAGCACGCATCAAATTACAGAAGGATGTTTGATTGGTACTGTAGCAAAAATCCTAGGAAGTAATCAAGAAAGCCATCACAGTTCACTTAGAGAGTAACACTATTGTCTTGTTCGCAGCATGGCTTTCGCAGAAATTCCACTTGCTTGACGAACCTTCTTACGGTCAGCAAGTTGGATTAAATCTTAAGATGATAGGATACCTGTAGGTGTCTTTTTCATAGACTTTAGCTAGGCGTTTGACAACGCACCTCACTTTAGGTTGCTCAGGAAACCGAAAGGTTTTGGAATCACTGGCAGTCTGGTTACATGGATAAGAGTTCCTCGTTGATAGGAGAAAGAGTAAGGATCAACTCTCCTTTTGGAAGTTGGTAGAGAGTGGAGTGTTGCAAGGCGCAGTCCTGCGTCCCCTGCTATTTCTTCTATACGTAAATGAGCTGCCAAACATCACGAAATCCCCTATGGTTCTCTACGCTAATGATGTACATATCTGGCTTGAAATTGGGAATGACGAGGATGTACATGCACTTCAGACAGACCTGAACAGCTTGTTTACCTGGTCAGAGAAGTGGTTGGTGCTTATGAATGCAGCTCCTTAAAATAGGTATAGACAGGTCAACATCTGATCCTGAAGCCTTACGTAAGCTTAGATTGGCTAAGTTTGTCACTTCAGTCAGTCCACCATTGAGTAATTCTGAATCAAAATCAACTGTTGTGGTGCGTGACTTGTATCAAGGTGAAGCTTCGGATGGCATGGAGAGGGATTCCAGCCTTAGTGGATTGTTGCTTCCGTGAGAGAGATCAACCGATACGCAGTCGGCAGGAATGATATCTGAAGACGCTAAACAGGTGTCAAAGACTAAGCACTGCATATCAAATCAGTGACTCATATCGCAGTGCAATATTTTGAAACTTGGAGTCGACAGACTCAGATACATCTAAGCAACACACCCATGACTTGTAACTTGTTGGATCAGGACTGCAACACCTACCAGAGCCTTCCGCTGGAGTATGTGTGATGTTGAGACTAGGTAAGCGTGAAGCGAAAAAAGTTGCTTATGCACGGCGTTGCGTGAAGGTGGTGTTGGGTACTTGCGAAGGACGTGTTATTTGCTTCAGGAATCCACATAAAGTTTAATGGTAGGACTATACGAGTAGGTCCTGCTTGGCTTTTAGATAACCGTTGTAAGTAGAAAATATGAACAAACAACAAATCTTTGACCATAGATGTCTTCCTAGCATTACTTGCATATGACGGGACATTGTCAGCATTGCTGAGGTTAGGTAAAGTGTACCAAACGAGACAGGCAAGTCGATTGGTGAGGTTGTGGACTTTCGTGACTGAGGTGACTTCGATATGTATTCCGCACCTCAAGTTGCAATGCTAGGAGAGCCTGGATTAGGTTAGGAAAGGACTCAGGGTGACCAGACGAAGACGTAACACCTGTCCGTGACGTCTCTGGCTCTTAATTTGATAGGTTTGGGGAGGAGTAGACCACCTGGCCTGGGTCCTCTTGGCCATAATTGACTAACTGACAAAATCAACGTAGAACCTCGCATACAGGTGCATCAGCTCAAGTTGCCACACTTCACAATACCTCGTGGCCATAGGAATCAGTGGTTGGAAACTCTTGGTGACATTGCCACATTTAATCACTCTCTAACGTCCTCTGAAGCTTGGATATTCTCACTAACCTTTATCTTCGAATTATTTCTCTTCCCATATACCCTTGTCTACTTTGATGTCATTCTTTTTCTGCCTACTCGTTCTATGCGTGTTACTTTGAAATGCAACAACTTGAACTGATGCACTTGTGTGCAAGGTTCTGCGTTGACTTTATGTCTATCTGAGATGATGAAGATATGGGAAGCTGTGAGCAGTCTAAAGGGCAGGTGGGAAAACAGAAAGTCTAGAAGTATTGGGTTTTCCGGTGGTGAGGTATCGGCAACCAATGTTACGTAAACCGCTGTTCGTGTGTTGTGCTAACTACTGTACCCTCATCTGAATTGGGGGATTCAGTAGATCTGAAGTCTGACGTGGTAGCAACGACGAAAACATGGTTATTAGAAGGCATAGATCTTACGCCACTTAAACCGGGGTTTACCTGCTTAAGAATGGATAGAATCATTAGTCGAAAGGGCAGTGGCATAGCGGTGTATATCCTACTTCAAGAGTGCATACCAGTGGCCACGTGTAGGATTGCATGTTGCGATGTCAAGTCGGGGCAAGTCACCGTTATTTGCGGAGTCATCTATCGTAGGCCTATTTACCAAGCAGATGACCTAGTGCTAGGCTACCTGCGTAAGTGGGCATTAGCAGTAGTTACCTAAGAATGGGGGACCCAGCTCAGCTACACGTCGATATGGCTGTTTCGATATCGAGTTGCTACTGGCTACATTCAATGTACTCTGGTACAACATGTAGTTGTACCTACTACATATGAGCTTTAATCCAGGGCATGGGCCTTCACTTTCAAATATAGTCTTTACTGGCACCTCCCACCGTTGGCTATTAGTGATGCGTAGTTCTTACTTTTAAATTCAGGACTTACGACTCGGTTTGAGAATCACTTCTAGATCCAGTATCTGGCGTGCAGACTTGACAGCAATTAGGGAAATGGCAGTCTCAGTGAACAGGTCAGTCACTAGAGACTTGGGAGGAATTTGAGACAATGTCCGGAAGTGTTACATCTTTCATTCCTTGGTCAGTACCACGGAGACAATGAAACTCGTTGGATAGATAATGAAATCCAGATATTGCTGAGGAAGAAGCGCTACTGGTATCTATTTGTAGAGACGGGTTGTGTCACATTTGAGTACCGCAAATTTTGCAAGACTCATCATTAAAAACTTAAATATGCATAGCAATTAGTGTACGACTGTATTACCTGTCCTGAAAGACTACTCAAATATCAGGTGCGCGACTAGGTATGATAAAATGCCCAGTCTACTTCCCAGTAAAAACTTAGATGTCTTAGCGGAATCAAGCAAGGATGAAGCCAAAACATTGTCGAATTAGTCAGGTTTTTTCGGTGGATAGTAATGCACAAATTTTGAGTATGACTATGACTGAAGTCTCGCAAATGGTTCCTAGTTTAGTGGATAATGTAGAGGTGCTTAGATTGATAGATAATTCAAAAATCTTGTAAGTTGCCAGATTTGTAGTGGTTTACACTCGAGACTGTTACTAACCTTTTCTGATATTATCCACGAGATATTTAATTTATCTCTGCTCCGAACCCGTTTATCTAGAGAGTGGCGAGACTCCGTGGTATGCCCCACTTTCAAAGATGGTAATAGACAATCAGTTACTAAGTATCATCCGGTCAGTTTGGTATGTATAGTAGTGAAAGTATTGGAGAAAATAATCAGGGATGAATTGCTGTCATGTGGAATCACATGGCTTATTGTCATAGGGGTGACACGGTTTCCAACCTGGACCCTCATATCTAACGAATTTGCTTCTAACTAGGAAAGAATGGATGAGAACAAGAGGTAATAAATCGCCTGTTTTTGTGGTGTGACGAGACATTTGATAAGGTTTCCACGTCGGCTTGCTGAGGGAGCTCGTAGGTTTTGGTACGGACGGGAACATGCGAGAATGGTTTAGGCATTGCCTGGACTGACTATCTAAAAAGCAATCAGAAAAGTTCAAAAACCACGGCTTGCAAAACCACGGGTGGAACTCAGATTCTCTTACAGGGTGGTCAACGACTGAAACATTGCCGGCATTTGTGGTAGCTGCTCCTTCGGTGAAGGCTTTTCGTGAGAAACGACGCTCGAAACAATTAATATAGGCTACTCGACCTACCTTTCAACCTGAAACTGTTAAGCCTAACACAAGGCACTTAAAAAATGAGGATATAATTCACGGCAGTAAGTGTGTGAATTCACAGAGTTTGTTATTGGTTGCTGCAGCGTACCACCTGATATGAACTCATTCGTAGAGTGACTGTAGAGGACCATCAAAATTGCAATTAACAATGATTCACTGAAAGACCTACGGAGGCGCAGAGGGTCGTATTTAGTTACATCGTCCCACTGCTCCACCCCGGGAGTCCGATAAACTTATTTCCTCGTGTCGAAAGAGATATAACGTCGTTGATAAACTTTTCCCTGTCACGTACATGGACTAGAAGAGGTCTAAGGAGTTCATCATAACCAGATGAAGCCAGCATTTCCCGCAGCACACATATCATGAACAACCCGTTCAGTAAATACTGAATATAAAATTCCAGCGGAAAATGGGTCAGCCCACCTCATTTCTCATGTTGGTGCTGCGACATTAGATAGGAGCAGGAGTTGTAAAAACATTAAAGCCACATTGTAATTTCGTTGATAACTAATTGTACTGTAATTATTCTCTTTTATGTTGTGGGCATCAAACAAGCGAATATTCCACATCCATTGTGCGACTGAGTTAACGAAGTAAATATGAACGAGTGAACTCAATTATTTTGTATTACGTGCTTTGTTTTTCTTTGTAAAAACACTTGTTATGTCAATACACTTTGTCTCTGCTCTGCCTTCTCTGTATTGTTCGCGTTTTATTAGTCCTGTGGAATACACTTCTCATTTTTAGAAGCTGAGCTTCCTGGAAACGACGCGGCCTTCTGATTGTTACGAGGTATGTGTTTTCTGGTATCATAGCTTTTTAAGATGTATACCATAATTGTGATGGAGTTGCAATTACACCACTGAGTTGTGTAGTCTCACAACAGTGTCTGGGTCTTATCTATCTACAGCTTCGCGCAGTGGAGTTGTAACTTGACGCTCTGAAAAGTAATCAACAAATATATAATAGACGACTTTGAGACACTGTACCAGCTCATAAACGTATAGAGTATGGGGCCATTGTATGTATGCAATATCCCAGTCACAAATACCGCGATACAAAACACCAGGTCATAGGAAAAATTCTATTAAAACCGTGGATCAGAATAAGGGCTTTTGTAGCATTTCATGCCGTGTTTCGCCCCTCGTGTTTTTCATGTCGATCTGCAAGTGGCCCAACCTTTCTTAGGTTCACATCATTTTAAAAGACCCAATCCTTTATTACTAAACCAGTATTACGTGTGTCTGTACAAGTGCATGACTCCACAAATCTTAGGTAAGGCTGTAATCATGAAACAAAAAGTGGAACCATCAATAGGTTTTTTGGAGTGTCTCTTGGGGAATTTTGGTGAGAAAGAATAGTAAATGCTGTTAGTTTCCAGTAAAAGAAATGGCCTCTGGGTAATCACTAATCCTGCTATGGGTTTTCGATGACCATTTCTACGGTACGCTGAGTTACACTGATCTAACAACTTAGTGAAAAATCTAACTGAAACGTGCAACATTTTTTATACTGTTGAATTTATCTATTGTTGATTATCTGCGTCGATCGTATAACACTATTTGTACATCTATGCCGAATTGTGCAATTAGAGAATTAATGTTGCATCCAATGATAATCTGTCTGAAGTTATTAAAGTATTTTAATGCAGTTAGCAGATATCTTCATAGTGCGTTAATTCCGATTTGCTGATAAGTAGTAGTATATTGTTGTATCTGAAAATTTAACGATGAAATATATTAACGACTTAGTTCCACTGCTGTTGCTTCATGTTAGTTTCTGTGTATTAGAGTGGTGGTTTGATTTGTGGTCAGGAGGGTAACAAAAACTCGACGGAACGTTGGAGAATTATAATGTCACCAGATATGGAATGCGCAACATAAGTAGTTGAGTGCTGAAATACTGTGAGCGGTTTGCAATATCAGACTAAGTAATTTTCGGCTCTGTGATTTAAACCTCTACCTCATGTTTTATTAGCTGTCCTGCTTGATTTACCCTTTTTTTCTGCATGGTTTACCCCGTCGCTTATATTTGGCGTCGTTACCTTGAGCTATCTAGCAAAATGTTGACTGTACATTTTTAAAATTTGATCATCTCAATTATGATACCATGGTTTGACGCATATATTTGCTAAGTTAAAGTGGATGCTCAAGCAGGAGATATAAATGAAGGTATATGTTCCTTGGTTCCTGATTCAACTAACTGGAATAGTATTGATTGACAAGTATCCTAAGTACGATAGTGAAGATCGGAGTTAAGAGAAAATTTAATTTCAAAATAGTAATTTCCAGGACTGACTTACGCTCTGTCAACTGAACTATGCAAGCTATTTAACTGCGAATACACAAGTGGTTAATGATTTTAATTGACAGTTTAAAGCATTGACCGTTTTTCTGACATTATTTAGTCTCGTAGTTTCTCTCTGTACATAATACTCTTGCTTTCAGGTTATCTTTTGGTGTCACTTTTTTGAATCGTGCACGAAATCTTATCCATGTCTACGTTACCTGAAGGATGGACTTCTCGAATCAGTTCTCGTACTGGTTTGTTTGTAAAACTTTTTCGCATCTATAACTTGTTTCTCAAGGAAAGCCATACTATGTCAATACCGTAACAAATGAGTCGCAGTGGGAAATACCTCAGTATCCAGCTACGGTATATGAAGATAAGATAAGATGTTCACACTTACTGGTGAAGCATAATGAGTCCCGACGTCCTTCCTCTTGGAAGGAAAAAAATATCACTCGATCGAAAGATGAGGCTCTGTCTTTAATTAATAGTAAGTTTGTTTGTTATGATTTTTGTGAGAATATTTACCAGCGGACTATACTGGTTAAGGACTAGCAAAGCTTAATACTTACAATCGGTTGTGCTTTGTTACTGTATGTTTTGACGTTCAAAACTTTTTGATATTGTCCGAGTGTTTGTTAGGTTTACAAATTTATCTTCTATCCTGTTAAGTGCATGATCGCTACCTGATCACCTGTGTAACCAATACGCACTCGGAAAACGTTTTCGGTAGATGAAGATATTCTCATCGAACTAAGTTTTCAGATAATTTTTGCCATAATATTTCGTATGGTCAGATATATGTGCTAAGACACGGTAAATAGAACGCATAACCTGGCGTAGAAGTGCATCAGTTTAAGATGCCACACTTCAGAGGAGCACACAGAAAAGCGAATGAGAGTAGAATAACATTGAATTCGACAAAAGTGGATGAAAGGAGAGGAAATTAGTAGTACTTGTTCATCAGAATACTTGAAACAGACTTTGAACCATGTGGTCGAGTGTGTGCAACCATTGATTGTCGATATGTGGAGTGTAGGCGGACAGCGTACACCTGGGTAGGTTAGAAAGTTGAGGCGAAAAGTGATGGAGTTGGTGAGCTGGTGCCTCGTATCGGTGTGACTACACAGCCTAGCCTTCTTCAACCAAGGTGGTGCGACTTGAGGTGAGATTGCACGTGAATGTAGGTGGTGGCACGGTTTGGCATAGTATAGTATACCGTGACATTGACAACGTACACATGATCTAAGCCTTTTGAGTAGATGAGGATTATCAAGGTGATGAACTGACTTGCTTGTTTTGACGAGTGGGCTTAGCGTAACCTGAACATTTCTGACGCGATGATTCCAGGATTTGTGGTGAGTAGTGCCCCGACCGATAGCTGCTACCTTGATGTTATGGTCGGGCTTGTATTTCACAATGACCCAACGAGTTATGCTGGTGGAACGCTGGTTCCCTCAAGGCCCTACTATAGTAGAAAGGACTGTTGGATAATAGCTAGATAAAGGCAGTTACAATTGTAGTGTGAATTCCTACGCCATGATGTGGGTCTGAGAGCGAAGTCGTACTACTGACTGGATGGAGGTGTGACAGCAGCAAGGTGTTTTCCTTTTGTGACCAACAGTACCACACCGATGCTACCTTCCTTGTTTGAATGCGAGGTTACAAATAGTCGGCCCACTCCGCGGTATGCCGATGCCTGCGACAGGGATTCATAGTCATAGTCGCAAGCAAGCACCAAGGTCTCAAACTTGCAAACAGACCGTGTGTGACCGACCTGAAGCAGGTGTCCATTGAGCTCTGCCGTCATGCTATTCGTTCTCTTTCAGGAAAAACTAGCCTTCCACGGCGTGGCCAGCCAAGTGACAACCGCCTACAAGCTTCCAGTAGTACACAAGGCCAAATCAAATATAGCCTTTCCTCCTTCGCCTTCACCTCGTGATACCAATATTGAACACTTTCCCCAACCTCTCATTCTGCGACCATTGCCAACGATCAAGGCCATCGGAACTTTATTCCTAGTCTCCTAAAACCTTGTTATCGGTTTCACATCGGATCCTTCAAGATACTGCGTAGAGTATGGGAGTCACAGGTAGCGCTGTCAGACTGGCGTACTTGCTGATTATCCCAGTTTATAGGAAGCAAGAGAAGTCTTCCCGTGACAAGCATAAGGGAATCAGTCTCACTAATCTTGTATCCAAGATCCTAGGGTTTTCTAGTCATCAGACGCCTCAAGGGAACTGTAAAACAAAAATCTCGAGAAAACCAGGCAGGTTTCGGAGCTGAACGAGTATGCATCGATCATATTTTCACTTTGCGACAGGTTCTGGAGCACAGGTTTACTTACCGGCGGCCGAAACTTGCCAAATTTCTCCACCCGAAGGTAGCATTTGACTCGACCGTGAGGTGTTGTAGCAGTGACTGGCTGTGAAGGCAGTAATAAGCAAGTATGTAGCGCTAGCCAAAGCTCTCTAGTTGAACCGATAGCCGTGTAAGTATTTACGGAGATTTTTCATCAGGAATGACGACAACTAGTGGTGATCCCAGGGATGCTCACTGTCACCATTCCTATTTGTTTTCGTTATAGATGTGTACATAACCTTAGGTACGTGTAACTTTACAGGGAAAGATCTACCCTCTGGGGTCGGCTTGGGGCATCGGACAACCTTGTCCTGTTAGGTGAAGACACTGAAAAGTTGCAGGGTAAAGCAAGAAGGCCGAAGTTCGTGGAAGCAACCTGACCTTTGCATAAGGGGAGTGGTTAGTGTTTCACCGCCTTAGGGAATATGATTTCATCCTCAGTTTACTTACACAACTTTTTATTTATTATTTTCCTTCTCTTACATTCCTAATTTCTTTACAGTTTATTGTCTCACACGTTATGTGGATTATCAATTGTTTTGTTGTGCGACTTAGAACTGTTGATTTCATAGTTCTGAAATAATAACCATTGCACTTAGACTGTATGCAGCTAAAGAGTATTCGGGAAATGAAATGAAATATTTCCTGCGAATTTCATCCTTCTTGCTTTATCTAAATTTTTCGCGTAATCTAAGTGTATGGAAATGATAGGTCTTTGGAACCCAATGAGCAGAAATCTGAGTGTGTTTAGCATACATCTCACACTTGTTGAAAGTAAGAAGATGCATCAGAACTAGTCTGGAACTACTGCCAGTTTGATGATAGGGAGTGAAGTGGGGGAATATGTCGACCACTTCCCTCAATTAGGGAGTTGCGTCAGCCCGAACGGGGCGGTTAGCGACAAAATCTCAGCTTGGGTACAGAAGACTAGTTTGGCATTTGCTGGTGTGCATCATCTCCGTAGCGCCGACTGGTGAGATACCATACTATCTTTCAAAAGGCGAGTGTATTGCTCTGCAGTTCGTTCTGTCCTGTTTTATGGTTGTGAGATATGGCCGTTGGAAGTAGAGGGCATGGAGTGATTGCACGGTTTTGATCATCTGAATCTCCCCGCCATTGTGTGCGTTTGGTTGACTCAACTTGTGGGTAATGTTGAGATCAGCTGAAGTTGCTAGGCCAAGATAGGCAGGTCGAAGACATGAACCTTCATTGGGTTGCGCATGCCGATCCATCGCTTAGCTCGACTTGCTATGCCTATAATATTTTTTAAGCCATTTGAACTATGGTGGTAACTGCTTTCAGTTCAAAGAACCTTTTTTTCATGGTAAGACTTCAACGAACAATTGCTCCAGTCAGTATAGTTCGTTTGGTTACTGTATTACGCAAGCTGGAGAACCGCTGCATAGTATTTACCTCACTAGTTGTTTCATGTTTACATGAACTTCACAGTAAAATCAGTACTGTGTTTGCAACTTAGTGCTGTCAATATCACCTTTTAGAGATTTCGAGGTACTGATAATGCAACTCGATAGGGGGTTGGATGTAATAGACTATGTGTTGGATTGCGTATGAAAATGAGGGAGTTAATGCATAAAATCTAGTGTATTTTTGAACAGCAACAGTCATTTCATCAATGCGAGAAGCATAAAGTTTGTACTGTAAGCTGAATCCATTTCACTTAGCCACTTTTCGTCAGTTATTGAGCGTAGAATGATAGATCAAGAATTAAGGATGAAATCAGGGTAGTCAAGCTCGAATGTTGTCTAGCAGATACTTGCACACTCAAAACGACTGTTCTGATATGGATGATGCAGTTGTGTAAAATATTTCGTGACTCAGACTATTTTTCTATCTCACTGGACAACAATCTGGACCATCTACCAACCGGGTGGTCAAATATTGTCACGATGAACGGTAATTGTAATGATTATGATGGTTGCGCATATTCAACTTAATATTGTTGTTTTTCTCTATTTTGCGTTTCTTGTTCATCCCAGAATACAAGAAACTCATAGAAGGTGGTGAGTATACACTTGAGGAACTTGCTAGAACTGAGAGTGATTGCGGCTCAGCTGATTCAGGTGGTGATTTAAACTTCTTTGGTCGTGGTCAAATGCAAAAAGCATTTGAGGATGCAGCATTCAATTTGAAAGTGGGTGAAATGTGTGGTCCTGTATATACAGAGTCTGGAATTCATTTAATCAAAAGAACAGCATGAAATGTGGAGGAATTATTTGACGATGTGTGAATGTTGTGTTCTGTTTAACGACGTGAACAATAAATTTTCTACTTTGCATTTTGTTTAAAAAGAATTGAAAGTGTTTTCATTAATGGTTGTGACTTTTATGTTTTACTATGTCCAAAGTGAATCTGGGTCTGCTACCTATGTCTTATTTGATACCTGCTGACCTCTGAAAGAAGGGCATACGAACACAAGAAACCCATAATACAATTAAAATGAGAGGAGATAAGGAGTGACTGACATACACGCTGGTGCACCTGTTCAGGTTGTCACACTTCACAGTAGTATACCCGGAACATATGGATAAAAAAGAGTGATATCAAAGTAGACAAAGTTGTATGAGAGAATAAACAATCTGAAGATAATTTTTAATGCAAATATTAAAGCCATCGAAGTCGACGTGTTACCGATTTCTCACTGTCACCTACAGTTTTCATCCACTAATTCCTTCCATCTCGGGAACCCCAACCAGGCAATCTCCCTACACAGGCCAAACCAACAGTAAGAGATTTCACTGAATGGTGTCGCATCTTGGCCTAGCCGCTGTAAAGCGTCTTGTAACTTAATCCAGCTCCTAGTGTGGCACGAAGTATTTCATTTTGCGGTTGCTTCCTGCATACAACTTTGATATCACTCTGCTTTCTTTCACTTGTTCGTTGCATGCTGCTGCGTTAAGTGCGTTAATAGATTTACTTCTCTGCTAACTCGTACGTTGATCATTTCCGTCTGTTTCTGCTAAATTAGTCTGAAATCAAAACGCTATAGTCACGGAAACGCAGATGATAAATTCTCCAGTTCATCTTTCTCAATTCCTATCATTTATAACGACACAGCGTTAGAGAACTGCTGGGATCGTGTCGGTGGGATGACATATAGCATAGTCCGCTCCTTCTAAGATACTGCAGCATATACCTGTTGACACGCATGGGCTTAGCATATGGTGTGGACTGGCATTCGCAACGCACAGACATACACTAACTGAGAGGGTAGGAATTAGCGAGCTGATTGGATGACATGCCTTCCTTGTCTAGTAGGCTATATGTAAGCTGGACACTGATGAAACGGTGAGTAGTGTTGTCAGGACCCTTGTGATCAATAAGGGATCTGTAATCTCTTCATGGAATGTAGATTGTGCCTGATGTCTAACTGTGGTTTGATAGGACAGAGTGGAATGCTGCATGCCTTATACTTGCTCGTCTTTTATTGAAGGGGTGGATATCTGACGTGCGTCATGCATGCTGTACGTTGGCAAATACCGATAGGGTCTTTTGTGTGAGTAGATATTTTGGCGGTGACCAAGCGACTTTATCTGATGCAAGTCAGCGTGTGAGTGAATTAGTTGTGGGATTATGCAGCTTCAATGGCTGTCCTTCACAGGTGTTAGTTGCTGCAGACAATCGGTGAAACAGCATCATACATTGACCAGGTGACAGAGATACCTCAATTAAGTCGACGTGAAACTAGGCAGAAGCGTGAGTGCATGGCTTCACGTTGCGACACTGCACAGCAGGATGCAAAGAACATGTTGATAGTTATAAAAGTAAGAAGTGTGGGGGAGTAGCAGCAATTTGAAAATTATGGTTAAGGAGTGTTCGAAGATGGGAAGGCGTCAGAGCGTGAACACGTGTCTTTCATTGTGATGAACCTGCAGCCATGTAACCGTGTGGACGGCGGTGCTAAAATGGTTGTCAACATGCTAAAGGGAACTTTGTTGACGTTTTTGTTTAGAATTTTGCATCCTTCGCTGTACCACTGACATCTTAATGTAGGTGTTGTTCATATGTTGGAAAAGTGTGGATGCCTCTTCGGAAACTCAAATATTGTCTCTGTCCACCCCTGATTTTCTTATACGCGAACATGTGGTTTCTGGCCGACATTTGGAGGCTGTGGAATTGTAGATACGGAGTAAATTCAGCTGACGACACTTCGTCACTTGAAAAGTCCGAATTCAGTGTCTACTATTATTATTTTAAACGGCTATCTATATATAGATATGTTTTTAGTCTTCGGTCTTTCAACCCTGAATACTCATTTCTACACTTCCATCGTGTCCTCTCCATTAATTAATCAGGTAGAGAATCAACTAGGAACTTGTTGAACGTTGGTGGCTCACACTCAATAGCTGTGCATCTTTGCCACCCACAGCATATAGTAGTTTCCAAATCACAACATGCACACACAAAATGAAATAAGTATAAATTAAACATATAACAAAGAAACATTTGCTTCATTCACAAATTTCTTGGTGTAGAGTTAACCTAGATAGAGAATCACATTAGCAGTTAGATTCATAATACATAAATAATAGCAAGCTGTTTAATCTTTAATTAGTTTGCTTTCAAAAACAAAAGTTCGTTACATAATTTGTTTCTCATGCTTTCTTCCTCCCACTGAATACGAGCTAAGTACCGCATTGTGGAGCCTGTATGTTTTGTAGTACGTGCATAAAGTCTTATGTACTTGCTCCTAGTCTTTCCTGATGACCGACATGCAGACAGCTTTAAGTGAAGAGTATGCGGGTCATCTGATAAAATAGCTCCTCCCAGATGTTCGTCCACAAAATTTTCATAAGGTTAACAAGTAAACCACCAGTCCCGCTGACAATCTTCAAAGTTCTATGCAATATAACATATTCTATTTTCAGCAACCCAGGAAAATATAGGGAGGAACAATCAAGGAGAATAGGGAAGATGTAGGAGTTTATAAAACATAAGAGGAAGAGCTGAGTTGTACCGGATACTCTCAGCTTCCCAGTATACGGTGCTAGACGGAAAATTCGATTGGAAATTAGTAAGATATGGGAGAACCAAGAAAGGTCCGAAGAAAAACACCGAGATAAACCACACCTGTAACGCTCTCTAATTTACAACCATCAATAGAACAGGAGTCATGAAACCTAGGCAGTTTATATAGGTTATGTTCATGTCCGAAACTTAAGTTGACAGTCTGAAATCTCGAAGAATTAGGCACAAGACCATGAAGGACCATCGTCTAACAGTAGTTGGGAAACCATTCAGTTGGGAACAATCCGTTGAAGAGGGGACAGGAATGTAAGCTGTCAGACCATCAGAGTATTTGATAAAATTGATACTAGATGAAGATGGTGAGTCATGCGGAAAGAAAGAGAAAAGATGAAGTGGGAAGGACTGCACTTTGGGGAACACCAGCCACAGTAAGCAATGAGGTGGAGCGCTTCTCTCTGTGAACAGCATATTGTCTTCCTTCAGAGAACTAGAAATACAGCCAGTTGATTATCTGGGACTTAGTATTTGTCCGGGTTAGCTTGTCCAGTGAAAGAGGTCTTGGGAAAGAATCAAATGCTGAAGCGTAGTCCGAAAAGGCACACCTGACATACTTAGCATTCCTATCAAGACCATAAGCAGTATCGTGATATTAGAGAGTGGTGGGATCCAGAGTGCTTCTACTTTTATATGCAAATTGATTATGGTCTCCGGAAGCTTTCAATGAGGGCTCGACACAGGTATTATTAGCGTCTCCATTATTTTCAAGAACGGAGAAGTAACTGAAATCGGATGGAATTTTGGACATGCGCCTGGAGTCCCTGACTTAGGTACGGGGACTATCTTAATATCTTTCCAGGCAGCCGGTAATGTGTTTTCTGAAAACGATCTAGTAAACATGTTAGCTAGTGGATGGCATTAAATATCAGCACACTTCATGAATATGAAGCTTGACATACCATTCAAACCGAAACTGCATAAAGGGTTTAGGGATTTGAGATGCTTGAGAACACCATTCTTGGTGAATTTCGGACAGCCTTCTTTGTTGGGAATACGTGGACAGTTGGGTCGGCGTGTAAACGATTTGTTCAAAGCATAGACGTCAACACATGCTTCTTTACCAAGATGTTTATTACCAGTGAGGTCTCCAAAGTGTTTCCACATTCTGGGAGAGCCTTTGGATGGGAAAAGTTTCTGGTTACATAGTAGACCCAGAAGTTTAGTTTCAACCTCATTAAAACATCCAGTCGACGAGCGCCAGAACTATCATTTACTTTATATAGCCTTTCTTTTTCCCTTCTTAGTCGCTTAAGCTGGGGAGTAGATAAACGATAGAAGCGTAGAAAACTTTATTCACTGGGACAACAGATATCCAGACAAAGCGTGAGATGGCACCTCACACTGTCAATAGTGTCATTGAAAGCATCGCTGTCAAATGTTCTAGTCAGTACACTGTAGCATTCCTCCTAGATTAGGTGTCACTATGTGAATAGTTCCTATGTAAAATTTTCTACTGCTGCCTTGTATAGTTTGCCATATATGTTAGGAAAAACACGTATAATGCAATGATCCGAGGTGAGCAGTGGAGGCCTCTTTCGAGTTTCATATATATCAGTATCATTGACGAATAACAGTGGTGACATTTGACAGGTGTAATATGCGTTTAGTATATATTCTGCTTTCTAGTGAGGGGTTTCGGAAGGGTCAGTATTGTGTATCACATCTGCCTGCTGGATATCAATCTGATTTCCTCCAAGGATTTGATTATTCTCTGTGAAGTCACGGGTACATAAATTTATGACGAATATAATATCTATAATGAGCGTAAACACGAACCTTCACGGCGGGTATCCATAGTAGACACCACTGATTTTTGTCACTTCAGATAACAATTCCGTACAACCCCTCACACAGATTCGTGAGTTCGAGTAGAGAAATTCGACTAGCAGTGAGCAATTGTTTGGTACTGCTTTCACAGTCAAACACTGATACCATACCTGACTGTCGAGATAGTCGGATACCGCGTTCAACTGAAATATGTCAAGTGTCACTTAGCAGTAAGTATGCTAGTGTTTCATATCTTGTCGAAGAGTAAATATCTGGTAGATGCTGCTGCAGGCCGGGGACCTCCCTGGTTTACCTGAATTGGTTATTCTTGAGCTTCGGTTAGATGCCAGATAAAACAGAAACTCACCAGGACCCAGCATTTTATTCAAAAAAGGGTTGGGGGTGGATGATGATTAGCAGATCTGATGGCTAGAACATGGTTTCTACCCTTATCTGTTGGACAGCCTTACCTGCCTGCTATGGGACCCGAGTAATTTTAAGTACGAGTTTATAATAAGA